TGATAATAAAATTCAATTCAACTCTGATGTTGAAGCACTCTATTAACAAATTACCACAGCATTGCTGGTATTAAACCTTTTATGTGTGGTCAAGCCCTATGAGCCAAACGCTCAGGTTTCAGAGAGTTATATCAGTTATTGGCTGTATGATGATCCTTAATATGCTCATCTCAGCCACACAGCTCCGTCTGTGAGTATAGACGTGACACCCGGGCATAAAGCTGCCTCAAAGACAGAAGAGCTAAAAGCTTTTTTCAGACAGTGGCTGCATGAAGGCCCAGTAAAGTATAGGATGCTGTGGCTTTGAGGCTGATATGTTTTCTCTAACTGGCTCAGAGAAAATGACAATGTGAAAGTCCACACAACAGGAAACTAAAACAGACAAATACCAAAGAACGCTGATGTGGATTGGAAGGACTAGGGAGAGAGCTGCTGAAGAAGGGTCAGGTGATAGGTGATAGGTGATAGCGTGGATGCTCACGTGCTCCTCTTAAACAGATGATTTTTCCATATCAGTCAGTTACCAATGAGAGTAAGCCAGGACTGCCTTCAGGACAGTAAGAGGGACTTGGTCAATCTTCAGTTAAGCGGAGCCTCTTTCACTTACATGCTGTGTTTGTCTTAAACAATGATACCTACAAAGAGCTGTTAATAAAGAGCTATCTGCCCAGCTTGCTCATCCACTAAACGGTGGCATCAGCATTTATCCTCTCGAGTGTTCCAGTTAGCATCACTAAAGTTGCTCAAGTCATTCAGACTTTTTTTTCCTGATTTCTCCATCAACCATGATTGTATAGGCTTCATTTGGTTTCTACTCTTTCCACCAAAAAGTTCTTTTCTCTCCCCCCTGCAGGCATTTTGCAAAAAAACATCACGTGAATTATTCTGCCTGCCCACGTACCTCAAACTGAAGTTACTCAAAGGATTTTAAAATCGCCATCAGATGTTTTCTTGCTGTTGTTTTACTCCTGCTTTGAAACAATGACTGCAAATCTCCCAGGCTCCTCTGTCTTGATGTAGAGCCAGTTAGCTTTCCATCTGTCAGTGTTAATGAGCGCTGGGATACACGGACACTCTTTTGTTTCTCTGTTCAACTTAGCCAGTCTTGGACAGGCCAAGTTGGAGAGTAATGATAATAGTTTGATTATGAATGTTTTTAGCCGTTACTGCTGAATGACATTACTTTAATCCTACATGTAAGTTAAAGGACACACACTAAACTGTGCTGCCCATTTCCCGCTCCATATTTGTATTCTTAAAATCTAGAGTAGCTTTGCATTATTCATGGTTCAGAATAATCCTCATCTATCTTATACTGGGGCGTGGTGCAGCTACTTAGGTCATCCTCTGTTGGAACACAGGGTTTTAGCTCCTCCCTTTTTAAATCGACAACCACAGTAGACAACATCTGAGCACAGTTTAGTCACAGCTAGCAGGTCCCAAGGACCCAAACACAGATCCAGAAGACAGGCTGTTGTAGCTGTTTGCAAAGTCCAAAAAACACATGGGAGCGTAAAGCAAAACTAAATCCACATGGACTCAAAGGGAGGACGCACACAGGGAATGATCACAGGCTAAATAATTTTGATGTTTCGTCTGATGCTTAAGCCCCGAGGCCTGTGTCAAGGACAGGGGGCGTGCCCAAATAAAGCCCATCCCAACACCTGTATTGTTTTCTTCAGAAACCACATGACCAAAGATAAACGAGGAACCCTTTCTCTGAAATGACGTGACTGCTTCATGTCATTTGAACCGGATTTGAGCGGTTGAAAAGATGCGGGAATTTTTTTGTGGTCTGAGGTGATTCTGATGATCATCAGCAGTCTGCAATGAGATTATGGAGCACATCGAATGACCAGCAGATGTCACTAGTTCAAAATGAGCTGTTAAACAGGGTTTTGTGTGATCTGCCTTCTGGTGAAGCAATTGGCTGGAAAGATCCGACACGTTCACAGGCCTTCATCACACCATCACTACGGCGTTAAGAGACGCTAAGAAAAGGGAAAACAGCACTATTTCAAGTCATGAGGGTAATTATTAAGGAAGTTGACACAGCAGGGCGATGAGACACAGCTGAAGACAATCAAGACAATGCCTGAGGAAGTAAACTAATCACAAGACGCCAGAGACAGATGACTGTTAAAATAAAACAGGAAGCAACTCAGCAGATAATCACCAACAGAAACACTTGACAAGATACAGGATGACATAGAGAAGGCAAGCCTAATAAATCAAAATGTAATAAAAATTCAATAAAAAATTTAACTAACAGAAACTAAATACTAAAATATAAGAGCTTTGGCGCTTCAACAGGGAGTCTAAAGTATTTTTAAGTAAGAGATTTCAGATCATTTTAGTAAATTAAGTTACATTTTTATAGATGGCGAAATGGAATTTTTAGCTTTTTAAAATTAAACCTACCTCAAAGAAAGCCTTTGGCAGGCCCTGGCATATAAAACAGAAATGGGATGATAAACCCATTAGTTATGTTGTTTGAATTAAAGCAGATCCCAGTCTTTAATGGCATCACTGAGTCATCTTTCTAAGAGTTTTTTGTAGTTTGGAATCAACCTGCACAATTACATTTAACATAATTTAGACAAATGACTAATTCCTCCCTCTCGAACTCTTTCTCCCTGCAGGTGACTGGGACTGTCATCCTCTAGATCCTGCAGTTTGGCATGTAAGTTTCACCAGTCAGGTTGTTCCTGAAGCTCTGCCCTGATCCCTTTCCTCACATATAGCTGCACTTATATTAAGTCTAATGTTGCATGGGACCCATGACCAAATTACCAGTATTTACAGTTGATAATGTGCTTTGTAAACATCCTCATGTCTTTGTCCCTTTAGCATCCAGTTTCGTGGCAGCCATCCAAAGAGGGTGACCACCTGATTGGGCGGATTACTCTGAGCAAGAGGTCAGCCATGCCCCGTGAGGCAGGCTCTCTCCTGGGACTAAAAGTAAGCAGGGATTCATTCACATTAAGATCTGTCCTCACTGAGACAACAGGCAGTGTTGGAGAGGACGGAGTGACATCTGATCTTATCGTACGTCTGTCTCATCTTTGTGTGCAGGTGGTAGGAGGGAAGATGACGGAGACAGGGAGACTTGGGGCCTTCATCACCAAAGTTAAAAAAGGGAGTCTGGCAGATGTCGTGGGACACCTACGTGCAGGTACAAAAAATAGAACATGTTGTTCCTTTGCAGGAGCTGCAGAACTGCAGACAGTATTGCTTTCATCTAGGAATGCATGTGAGATCAACCTTTGCATAGACATCAGTATGTACCTGTCATCTTTGCAGGCATGAGTAGTGTGCTTGTCATTGAAATTGTTAAATGCTAAAATGCTAAACATTTGTAGCAGCTTGTGGTGGCCTACAGAATAGTAATAATACAGGTGTTTTTATTGGTGTAATGTCTGTGTGAGCTCCACTTGAACTCAAAGCAATCAACCAGCCTGCTTGTGCTGCATTCACATTATACCAGACCTTTACTGGAGTGCTATTTTGAGGAGTTTGGTTTTGCCAGTTTTACACTGATAAATAATTTTCAAAGCATTTTAAAAAAGAAAAAAAAAGGAATGTGGGCAAAAGTAAGCAACCGCAGTCAGCTGTTGGGATTAAAGTGATATTAGAGCATATATAAGGAAGCACAGAATGTATAAACAGGCAATGTGTACAGTTCTGCAGTAAAGCAGTCATCATTCATGCTACATTTTGCTTATCTGACCACGCTGTGTCATGATTTGAATAATAATGGAGTAATGTATGGAGTGCTGAGGTCACGGGACTACTTCTGGCTATAAATTTTGACTGTACAGCGACTCAGCTGCTGCTGAAAGTATTAACCCAGGGCCTTATTTATGCTTGAACATAGTGTTAAAATCACTCCTGAGAGTGAAAAAACATTTGAGGAGGTTCTGAGAGCTCCGTTTTCAATTTACAGGTCGGAAATCATCGTAACTCACCTAAAATGCTTTGTCACTGTGGGTTTAGTCAGGAAAAAAAGAAGGAGCCAACAAGAAAACCCAGGCAGCAGTGACCTTTATGGTGGGCTAAATAGTGGGTTGGCATACCAAACCGAACATGTAAAAATGGGCAGATAAAAAGACAGAAATGTGCCTCATCAAGTGCAAAAAAGTCCTTCCAGTCTCTGAAAACTCTCAGAAGTGTTTTTTTTTGTCTAATTTGACAACTTGGATCTTTTCATGATAATTCATGAAAGATGCAAGCGGCAATAAGTCACATTAATGTGCTGGACAACCACTTATTTTAAGTCTGGAGATTGATGAGATAAAATTGTTTCCACACTAAAGTCACATTAAATTGAATTATTTTCTCCATTAAAGTCAGAAACGAGGATGAAACAGGTTGTGGTTAATCGTGTGATTGACAAGTTTTAAGTGTCCACCCCTCGGTCATCCAGCGTCAAACAAGCGTGAAGTTTCACAAAAGGACTTTTCTTACCAAAGGGTGATGTTATGGTGACAATGTCCATTTTCTGAATACAGCCTTTGACCGATCATCGTCGGGTTTTTGTGTGGAGCACCCAGCAGAAAAGTTGCGCTGCACTTAACTGCACACTGAGGACATTTGATTTTTCAGTTTGACTTTAAGAGGCATTAATCTTGTTTTCAGGTGATGAGGTGTTGCAGTGGAACGGGAAGTCGTTGCCAGGAGCAACCAAGAAAGAAGTGTACAACATCATTCTCGAGTCCAAGGCTGAGCCTCAAGTGGAGATTGTTGTTTCGAGACCTATAGGGTGCGTTTGTTGTTACTAATGTGTACTGGTCATTGTTAAAGTACCACGGCTTTGATTTTCCTTCTGACGGACTTTTGATGTGTCTCCTTTATCTAAAAGCTCTGTGAACCGAATTATGTCCAAACACCTCTTGAGAAAAGTGTATAGAGCACATCAGTAAGTAGAGTTGCTGAAATGGGTGGAGCCCCTTCCCAATGTATCTTCCCTGAAATCCTTCAGATCCAAGAAAGACATCCCCTTTTTTCCACCTGTTCTTCAGTCCTTGGCCACCTGCTGTTTTCCCCACACTGTTAATATGACTGACTGGTTTTGTTCTTCTTCTACTGTGTTAGAAACTGTTGTTGTTTAGAGATATATGCCAGCTGAATGACACATAGTAAGGGAAGATTTGTATACACTCTGTGACTCTTCTGCTTTTTACAGAGACATCCCAAGAATCCCAGAGTCCTCCCACCCTCCTCTAGAATCTAGTAAGTTTTTATATCACCAGCTTAACAGGCTTTATATTTTAAAATGTGCTTTCAGTTAATGTTTTTTCCTATTATTCATTCTGTTGATCCCTCAGCAGGCTCCAGCTCCTTTGAGTCCCAGAAGATGGACCGTCCATCTATATCCGTGATGTCCCCTACTAGTCCCAGCACTCTCAGAGACCTTCCTCTGGTTCTGCCTGGACAGCTCTCTGTGAGTATCAGGAACAAACACAATGAGGTTCATCTGACTGGATATAGATTCAAAAGGATGCTAACTGCCTTTATGCATTGTTACAGGTGAAGCTGTGGTACGACAAAGTGGGCCATCAGCTGATTGTCAACGTCCTTCAAGCCATAGACCTGCCACCCCGACCAGACGGACGACCTCGAAACCCCTACGTCAAGATGTACTTCCTGCCTGATAGGAGGTCAGCTCATTGTGTTCATTTTTACTTATTGAGCATCTCACGGATATTTCTTTATCTATAGTTTTTATTTTGAACAATAAAAAAAACCCATACTGTTCTCCTTCTTGCACACTGAATGAATCCATGATTTCTTCTCTCTTCCAGTGATAAGAGTAAACGACGGACTAAAACGGTGAAAAAGAGCGCTGAGCCCAAGTGGAACCAGACCTTTATTTATTCCCACGTTCATCGGCGAGACTTCAGAGAGCGCATGCTGGAGATCACAGTGTGGGATCAGCCTCGAGTCCAGGAGGAGGAGAGTGAATTCCTGGGCGAGGTGCGTGACAGCCACTGTCCAATCTGCAGGCAAAGCCATTTTATTGGTTGAACTGTAAAACTTGTAATAGACACATCAAATCCCCTAAATCCACATTTTAACCTTAGTAGAAGAAACATACGTAGATGGTAAATGGCCTGTGTTTGTATAGCGTATTGTTTACATTTTCAAAATTAAAAAAATAAGGTGGAGATCAACTGAGAAGACCAGTTGCTAGATTTGCTGCACTTTAGGAAGAGGGATGTTGTCCCATTATTGTCTGATAGAAGACTCCAGCTGCTTAACAGTCCTGGTTCTTCTTTGTGGAACCTTTGGTTTCATGATGCTCCAGATGTTTTTAGTTAGTCTGAACCTCAGCTAGGCCTAATCACTACGCAAACTCTTCTACTACATCTATCTGCGGTATCTATGCTGTTGGAATCGATACAGGTCTTCCCTGAATGTCAGTGTAGATGTCATATAAAGAAAAGCATACATTGCTCTAAAACGTGTAGATACTGTTGAGCATTGACAGTGTTTGAACTCTTCTTTAGTCCAGAGGATGTGGTGCACGTGTTTTAATTCCTGTCCTGTCTGGCAGCTTTTGGAATCAGAATGCAGAAGGACATGATGAACCTCTGTGCTTCTATAAGATGCACGTTTATACCCAGTCATGTTACTGAGCTGTTACCATTTAACCTAATTAGTTGCAAACTGTTCCTGCCCTCACATTTCTAGCCTTTTGTTCCCTCATCCCAACTTTTGTCTTGCTGCCATCAAATTCAAAATGAGCTAATATGCTATCAAATTGTTATTTATCTTGTAATGCCTCCCGGTCCAGCTCTTCAGTTCGAAGCAATGTTTTAGCCCCTCCCCTCTTAAGCTCCTCCTCTCTTGGCTCTTAAGTAGACTTTCCTCTCATTGGCTGCCTCTCATAAATAGATGGTTGAAACAGCAGGCCAGAGCTGTTTTGGAGAAGAAATGAGAGATATCTGGTCTTACTGACTTCATTCAGACAAGTATTGATCATTTACATCAATAGTTCCAGATAATATAATTACATAAATAATTCTGCCAGCTCCCAAATGTTTCCCAATATCCCATAACTGGAAATCTTGGGATTTTTACTATGTTTTAAATTAAAGACACTTCTGATTACAGATGAAGATGATAGCAAGCAACCATAATTTATCCATAAAGGATTTCTTACTTACAGGAGTCACAAAACAGCAATACAAACTTAAAGAAAACAGTAGATAAAAGAATATAAACTTCAAAAGAACTGTTACTCTAAAAGCAATAAGAAAGTGAAAACAGTTTTTATAGTTTTTAAATGGTTTTTAAAAATTAAATGGTGCAAACATGTTTCTCAAATACCGGTCTGCGGAGAGAATAACAGGGGGAACTGTGAGAAACACCCATCACCCAAAATTTGCTAAGTCTGCCTAACATATGATTTAATTTGTTGTATATTTACTGAATATGATTGCCTAAAGTTTCATTCTCTGAGTGGATGAAACTGATTTTCTTTTAAATGACTTCACACATGTGAAGATTTCTACTTTCCATTTTTCTCATGTGCCACCTCCCTTTCTGTCCCCCTCAGATCCTCATAGAGTTGGAGACGGCCTTGCTAGACGACATTCCTCACTGGTATAAGCTCCAGACACATGACGTGTCCTCTATACCTCTGCCACAGCCCTCTCCATACCTCCCACGGAGACACGTCCATGGAGACAGCCCCAGCAAGAAACTACAGAGTATGTGTGTTCATTTATTTGCAGGCTGTGTGTCCTTTAACCAACAGTGTTTGAGCGTGGTGGCTAACATTTCCTGTTCTGAGCCTTCTCCAGTGTCTCTCTCAGCGTGGGAGAATCTCTCAACCTTACCCTGTCTTGTGTGTGGGTGTTTTGCGTGTGCGTTTGTATGTGTGCAGGGTCTCATCGCATCATTGATACAGAGTTTGATGATGGTTTGATAGTAGTGACTAAAGGTGGGTGGGGGTCATGGTTATTGAGCGTTTCCTCGTAGTAGCCTGTAGGTGCCCAGCACTGCGTGAGAGAGCATCCTTGTGCATCCTCCCTTCATGTCCTGTGGAAACCTTTTGGGTCTGCTTCTATAAATTTCTAAAAATTTAACCTAAATTAAAATAATTAATTCAAGCTGAATCAGCAAAAACACCTGAAAGTATTTTGCAAATCATCACATTTCTTACTGGGGTGCAGATTCTGAATTTTTGCGTGAGGCTGCATGAGCATTTTCTCCTCTTTTGCTGGGTCTTAGAAACACCGACGCACTGAGTGCATGCTGCACTGCAGAGCTGCAGTAGTTCACTGCCATTCCACTACGTCTCCTGCAATCCTGCATGCTTCTATTCCTGCTCCTTACTTCACTGAAAGCACACTGAACACAGACAATAGAAGACATTTTAGCTACAGCTGCTTTGCTGCCTGTTTCTGCCCTCGCTTCAGTTCCAGTGTGCATTGATTTACTATTTGAACATTACTATGATTTTATTTTATTTTTTTTTCCTTGTTAATTTGTTTTGCCTCCAATATCAGAGCTCTGTACTACAATACCCACAATTCTTAGCCACAGCTTAAATCGTGCACCACGGGTGATGAATTCATTCACTCAACTATTCATTCATTGGCCAAAAAAAAGTGTTAATTTTAGTTGCAGTGCAAGTGTATACCTAACTGCATCTTGAGAGTCCGTTTTTATACATAGGTTGTTGTTTTTTTGTACTTATCCAACCAGCGATGCTTCCTGTGTATTCTTAGAAGCTCCCCAACTGGCTGCTACCTTTAATGATCCATACAAGACATGATTGAGACCTTCGCCTCACTTCACTTTGCACAGTTCTGTTTCACATCCTGTCGTTCATATTTAAAGCTAGAGTTGGCAGACGTCTAGAAAGACCAAACCCCGCCCCCAAAAACCCCCAAGCCAATGTCTCAGTGTCTCTGCAGAACACAAGTGGGTGTTCATCAGCCATTAGAGGAGGACGAGCAAAGTGACCACTGGCCTCTGCGCTCTACACTCCTGTCCCAGAATCTTGTCAGATTGCTGTATACCATTTCCAGTAATTCCCACGTGCGGTTAAATCAAAGTAAAGTTTGCAGTTTTACATCTTTGCATTGGTGGCCAAGAGTATTTTCTGTATCGTTAACCATTAATGAAACTTTTAAATCATAGCATGTCACATGTTTCCAAATGTGAAGAGGTCATAAGCCATACACCCCCCTCCTTTCACCCTATGTTAGCTTGAACTGGCCCCAACCCTTCTGTGGTATAAGAAAATGAACGAATGGGTGAAGAGATCACACTAAATTGGGAGCAATGTCTTGGCACGCCACTCAACCATTCCATATAAAGTTAGGTTAGGGTTAGAAGCAACGTCAAGGATTTCTGCCAGCCTAGTTAATGGTTCAGGGATGGCGTCACTGTTTTTTGACTCCTTAATGAAATGTCCTGCAGCCCCCTCTCTCCTATAACTGTCCTAACTCCACCCCATCAGACATATATAGGCTATACATCAGCTCCAGCAGCCAGAAGGCCATCAACCAACTACATCAAGACCATCACAGAAAATTTAACTTAGCATCTTACCAATCCAGGGAGCAATGAGAGGTGCTGAATATAGTTTGTCATTGCTCCCTGGTGATGGTTAATATTCACTCCTGACATGGGATGTGTTTTAGTGCATTAAATGTCCCTTTTTTGGGCTGCTTTGCAATGTACGTAGTTGCTGTCGGTGGAATAGCCACTTTTAATTCAGGAATATCTGCCACTTAGTAAAGGGAAGTTCCCATGAATTTGTAGAAGGGCCAATTAGAGTAGCTTCTCTTTGACCTGTGATTGGCCAGAGTCTCCCATCACAAAGCCAGGAGGAGGTAGAGAAGTGTAGGTTTCTCTCACACAACAGGAGATGTTTTTTTCCTGTAAGACTCAAACATTACTGCCGATCTCAGCTTTAAATGAGGCTAATGCTCTGTTACTGCATTTTTTTCTGTATCATGTGACTTACTATAGCTTTGTAGGCTTGTAACTGTAAATGCCTGATCTGTCATCTCATCAGCCACTTCATGGGATTAAAACAAACTGAGCTCAGGTCTGACAGACACATTTGCAGAAACAGTCACATGACCAGCTACACTGCGTTTGCAAGCTGCTTATTTGCCTGTAAAACATCCAGATGTGATGTTTTACAGTCTGTAGGTGAATGGCACCTGTAACGGTAGCGAGTAGTATTGACTCATTACAACTGGTGCACCCTTACCTAAGGACACAACTAATGCCTGGATGTGTGTGAGTGTTTGTATCCCTCCTGTGTGTATGTTATATCTGTGAATCTTGAAACATGTATTTTGCTTGTTTTGCACGTGTTTGTGTGTCCACACTGGATCTGTGTGCGGGTGCAGGCGCAGAGCGTAACTCCAGGGAGAGAGAGCGGGGCAGCACGTTGGCTGTGCCCGAGCAGCAGCGACCCGTCCAGCACCGCTCGCGCTCGGTGTCGCCTCACAGAGAGGACACGTGCAGGGCTCGGTCTCGGCCTGCACACGTGCCCATGCAAAGGTGAGTTACACCGGGGAGTTTTAGCTGCTGAACTCTGAGTGATGATTTGGCAAGTGGGGGAACCCTAAAGAAAAGCTTGACGTTGCTTGTTAATTTGTGGACTGCAGCTGCGAGGATTACTGCTCGACAAGTCCGCTGCTGCATTGTTCTGGTCATGGCAGATGGCTGCCCTCTTTTGAGCCTCTTTCTGTTGGTTTCTTCCTGTTAAAAGGGAGTTTTTCCTTCCTACTGTCTCTGCTCACAGGGTGTCGTCTGATTGTTGGTGCTTTCTCTCTGTTATTGTAGGGTCTCTATCTTATTCTCTAAAGCACTTTTAGCCAACTGTTTGTGTTATTTGGTGTGGATAACTGCAAAATAAAACCAGTACCGGTACCAAATAAAAGAAGATTTATTCATAAAACACAGGAAAAAGCCCTGGGAAAGTGTTAATGATAAAAGTTAATGAGTTAATGATAACAACGATTTAAAAAAATAACGATAAAAACCCTGAAAACCATAAATTTCACACACGAGCCTTAACTCTCACGGCCCGGTACCAGGATGGGGGACCGCTGCACTAAACCATCTGAGATGTGACGTTACCAGATTCCCTGCTGGTTCTTTTAGTTACTAAATCAACATATAATAAAATATAAAATGCTTATTTAGTATTTTATTGTCACAATTTGAATTTAAGCAGAAATTAAGAAAAAAAATTGATTTAAAAAAACCAAAATGAAGCTCAGGGCTCAGCCTGAGCATGGCTGCTGTGTGTAACAAATGATTTAACAGTAAAACTGTAAACAGTACAGCTGTGTAACGCAGGCAGGACAGCGCCCAAAATGCAGACTTGCGGAGACGGGACCTCCAAAATACAGCTTTATTTACTGGGAGAAAAAGCGACACAAAACTAAAAAGTGAAACCTAAACACACGGGGAACACTGCTGACACGAATTAACGTGACGCCACAGGGGAAGCAGAACTAGACACACCGAACATGGAAGCCCGAGACCTTCACAATAAAACAGGAAACGGAGGAACATGACAAAGAAATGGAGGAAAGGCAAAGAGGGAGACAAGAGAGACATGGCAGACTGGGGAAACATGGATAAACATGGGCAGGGGGGACAAAGAATGAAACAAGGGAAACGAGACGCAAGAACTCACACAACATATATACACACAGACACACAGAGAGAGACACAGAGGGCAAAACAGAGATGCTAAACAGAACAACCTAGGCACCGCAGATTAAACTCGAGACTACCAACGTGGACTTAACCATGAACCATAATAGAAAATGACATGAAAATACAAGAACACAACACACTGGGTCAAATGACCCAGGCACACGACAGACTCTGTGTGTCACAGCTGGCCAGATGTAAAGAGTAGATCGTATTCACCATTCTGACAGATCCCATCCCAGTTTGGGGAATATTTAATGAATTTACTTCTTTGGAGACCCACATATGGATGCTTTTGATGATGCTGTCTATATATTTCAATAATTGGAACAGCTGGAAGAGACAAACCACCTCAGCTCTTGTTAACATTTCATTAACCCAGGGAGAAGCTGGCAGTGCAGCAGAAGTTCAAATCTAAAATGTTTGATTGAGTGCCGGGTCTCCACAACATGGGTCACATTTCGTGGGTGGTTGATCTGGAGATTTTTTCTGCTTTTTTCCCACAATAATAAAAGTTGTACATCAGTGTCTAATCACACTGTCTTTGAACTTGGGTAATGTATCCTCTCTCCAGGAAAACGTCCAGGAAAACACATAAAACTAAAACTATAAAGCAGCAGAGAGCTAAATATAACCAATGCAGAATACGGACGCATAAAACAATAATCAACAAAAATAATAAAAAATGTAAAACTACAAAACCCCAAAACATGCCAAACTCAAAACTCTGGGTCCAAGACTCAGGGACCTTAACTGATACGCTAAACAAATCTGTAAACCAGAAAACACCACAACAGAGCACAGCTGACAGAAAATCATTAGCTGTGTAAATTCCTGAGTTAATGTATTTATTTCCCTTTGCACGCTCAGGCTGCAGCTCATCTCAAATGTCAAATCGACATCTTAGAGCTCTGAAACTTCAAACTTTTAGCTATTCGGTGCGCTCAGCTCTGATACTGTCCCGAAGCCAAACGAAGAGTGACAAATCACTTGTGTGTGAAAGGATCTTTACTCATTGAATTTTTGGTGATAAATAACCAACAAATGGACTGATTGACTTTGTAATGTGCCCTAGTCGCTCTTCTAGCTTGTGTTCAGCACAGCAGTTGCCATGGTGATCTAGCCAGGTTAAAAGGCATCCACCTTCCTGGTACTGAAAACTCTGACTTTAGGCTCAACATGCCCGAACAACACATTAATCTTGCTTTGCGGTGCAGGCAGCATTTACCTAGAACGTTTCAATCTCACTTCTTACCCCTGCTCATCGTGTCTCTACATCAAATCTTCAGTCAGATCTCAGTAAAGCGAGAATAAACATGATAAAGTCACAACTTTATAGTTTTTTCATTTTATCGTATTTTCTTTCTTTTAATGACTGCACTCCTTTTCACATTACATATAGAAATGATGTGTTTTCTCATCATCAGGAGTTTGGATGAGATCCACCAGAACCGCCACCACTCCCACTCCCCCTCCCATTACCACGAGCCCCACTTGGAGCACCAACGCTCAGGTGACTCGGACTACGAGTACTCTGAGGACAGGTAACCTGCTGTTGGAATCTCCTGGGATCTTCAGGATGAGGGGCGGGGCAGTGAAAATCTCTTCTAGTTGACTTTTTTACTTGTAATAAAAGAAAGATTGACATGTGTCAGATCAATGGTTGATTCTCTAACAGTGAAACTGGCCATCATCAAACATGAACTTCTGGGGCTTTGACACAATTATATATATTTCTCAAAGGCTGAATATTGTTTTTGTTTATGTGTGTGTAATGTGATCTTGCCAAACTATTTTCTACTAATACTACTAACAGAGTGAAACTACCCATATGGAAAAGAAATAGAAAAAGAACTTGTGGTAAATGTTGAAGTTTTATGTGTATTTTAAAGTTTCGGGTCCTTCACACAGAACATGGCATGTGCTGCACTTGCATCTGTAAGAATACTGGACCTCTGTTCTTCTTTGCATTAATTAAAAAGATTTGTTAGATATGTAGAGCAACAGAAAGGAACACTTAGGAAGTCTAAGCTGTGTTTACACATATTGTACGTCCACTCGACTGTTAAAACACACCCGTGTACTGCTGGTGCCGTGGTTCTGGGTTAGAGTTATGTACAAATAATTTCTTTATTTTCTCAGTTTTTACACTGATTCAAGTTTTACTTCCTGCTGTATCGCACGCACAGCACTGGTATTTTACTTCTGAGTCGCCAGATTGTGTCTTTCATGGTCAGGTGGTCTTTTTGCTGTGAAGCAGTTTCTGGGAATCCTCGCGTGCATCTTGGGTTTCCTTGCATGTGGAGGTGTTTATGAACGACTTGGGTTTTTGGAGAGTTTCTTTTTTTCCTTCCTCTTCTTAGAATTTTTTGCCACACATGATGCAAATTTAGGATTAAGGATTTGGATTTGGGCAGATTCCACCACTTTGCTCTGTGAGGAAAAATGGGCTTTTGTGGTGGTCCCAACTCAAAGTGTGTTGTTGTATAATTGAGTGCATTAGATGCTGGATGCTTTAGTTTCAGATTGCAGCAGTGCAGTTATTGTCTCCTTTATATCTTTAAATCTGTTTACTCATAAAAGTGGCCTTTTTTGCAGATTCTTCATGAAATATAATTGTGGGAAATTAAATCAAGTGCACGTTAAATGTGTGCGAGTGTGGATGTTTACGTAGACACTTATGTGTCACGCTGATCGCGGCAAATTGTGAAAATACAACAACAACAAACGTTGTTGAGCCTTTTACGACACGTGATACTAAACTCTTCGAAGCTAAAGAGAATTTAACAGAACACGTGACAGCCCTGCTTGATAAGAACATGCCGCTGTTTCTGCCGCTGTGCTGACGATGTATTCAAACCATGCAGAGCATGAGCAGAGCAATGCTGTGCAAAAAGTTGCTGCAGTTCAGGAAAGAACCTCAGTGAACAGGAATCAAGCTTATTCAAGCAAAGACACAGATTATTTTAGTTTCCACAAATACATCAACAGCGTCAACAGTGCATCTGAAAGGAAATGGCACACTGTCACGTGTGGAGAGGAAGCAGCTGGTCGCTGTGCTTCGTGCCTCGTCACAATGGCGGCTGCCATACTATGTGCTGCGGCTGTTGATGATAATGACTCACAGAAACGTATTTTACTACAGTCCAAACACATAAAATGTAAAACTGCATTTATGTTTGCACAACCTTGCACCAAAAACATGATGGAAATTTCCATTTCGGAGCTGCAGACTCCAGATTCATTCTGAACGGTCTCACCAGCGCCCGTGTGAAACCTGCCCACAGAGTGGGAGTTGGTCAGTGTTTTATTCTTCCTACTGCAGCCACTGAATGTGGACGGTGTAGAGCTTTTCTACTGTTAAGCCATCATAGACAGTGCACAGCCCCCTTTGGACTCAAAATAGAAAGTGCACACTGTAGTGGCGTTGCATGCCACTTTCTTAGGAGGTGTATGTAAAACATGAACATTTACTACAGGAGTGTATGCACGGGTTTATTCTAAGTCTTTTCCATATGGGATTCTCTGCTGTTGAACGGAGACTTGATTGAAATCTCAGAATTATGATTTCCTGGTTTCTGTCATTCATAACTTCACTTTACCTGTCTGAGTTGCCATCCTCTTCTTTTGTGTTGTTTTTCATTTGTTCACCCATCGTCATGCCAATGACAGTGAGGTCCTGGAGATGCACAGGTCTATCCGGGGCGGGAGTGCCGAGTGCCTGCACACAAACAGGTAAAAAGAAAAAGAGTAGCTGTCATCATTTCCATTTTCACTATACTTTAACAACTCCATCTTAACTCTTAAAGTTGGCCTTTTTAATGCAAAAGGAACATGCTGGTTATGGTTGTGTCTGCTATTTCTGCTTTTCTGCACATGCATGAAGACAAAAGTGTCACGAGTAGTTGTAGCACACATAAATTCAACTGTCTCATAACAGTGTATGCGGGGATTTGAGCCCCGCTCGGCACCTGACCTCAAAGAAGGCAAAGCTTTGTGAATAATTTCTTTTATTTCGTTTTTTTTTTTGCCTTGGATGTCTTCTCTACATAACAGCAGTTATGGATTGTCTTTCCACTTTTTTCTTGTCTTCCTTTACGTGCATGACCTCCGCTCATACAACCAGGAGCATAGGTAGATACAGCAACACCCTCCCCCCCAAAATGCCCCTGTTAGTAAACGGTATCCATAAAGACATTTACAGGTAAGCTTTTAGCATTAAAGGCAGTCCTGCAAACCCTTCTCTGTGCCTGTCCAGCTTTCCCAGACTCATTTGTGGAGTTGGTGGGCCATTTATTCGTGGCAGTGATCTCTCAATGCAATAAATGCCCATATGTCTCCCAGGCCGCTGTGCTGATTGTGCGTGCTGTGGTCGGAGTGTGTGCCAAGTTGCTTTGTCATGGTGCCGCTTCAGTGAGATGTGTTGCTTTCCCATCTGCATTACACAATCTTTTACATGAGCACACTGCTAATCTTACACGTGTAGCCCATCAACTACAAATCATAAAAGAAACACAATTGGAGTAATTTGCAGTTTCTAGTAATGCTGCGTGTGAGGGTCTAGCAGAGCTCACCTACTCTGCACACTTTGCACGGGCAGTTCCCCTGAACCAAACAGTGAGTCTGGAGATATTCATGTGTGAAAACATCCTGGGCTGACCAACGGGTGACCAAAACTTTTAGGGCCAAGGATCCATTTAGGGACACAAAAGCATGATTGTAACACCAGTTTAGCTATTTGCGACTTCCCCTTACTCGACGGTTTGGACGGACTGCAGAAACAAACTGAACTTGCTAAACTTTTAATTACTCTTGTTACTTTTATTTAACCAAGAAAGGAAACTCTCGAGATTAACACTCTTTTGCTAGAGTGTCCTAGACCAAGACAGGCAGCATTAATCCGTCTACTTTTTGGATGGATGGAGAAACTGAAGCTCCCAAAGAAAACCCACTTAAATTCTACACAGAAAGTCCCGTCCTGGGTTCGACCCCTTTTACTGCGAGGTAACAGTGCAGACCACTGAACATTTAAATAGCATTTTAACTCGATTTCTGTCTTCCTCCATGCTAATTAGAGCGCTGGCATGCTGTTGACATTGTAAGCACTGGCATTAGCATTTAGTTTAAAAGTGCTGTGGCTAAATGAAGCCGAGATGGGCTGTTAGCCTGTCTGTAGACCCTTAGGAGGCTTACAAACAAAAGAAAGTAGGAATGTGGAGAATGGAGATTGCTTAATGTTAAGAACTTTCACGACTTGTAGTAATCTTATGCAAAACCATTGTTTGCCTCACAAAGTGTCCGCTTACCAGGTTAAACTTGGGGGCAGTGCCATTTAAGTGCGTACTAGCAAGGGCTTGTTGCCTGTTGTGTATTAGTATGAAGGGTTGCTCATAATGTCCACTAGTGACCAACTGTAACTAAAGAGCAGAACAAGTGGTTTTAGTTTTATTTAAAGGAACCTGATGTTTGTCTCCATCGAGTCTCATGAAAAAACCTGAATGATGTGAACAGCTGTAGCTTGGCTTGGGTTGAAGTTGCCAGAGTACCCTGATGATGACTGCTGGTTAAATGAAACCTGAGGATGCTTTGCAGCTGATGGGCTAAAACACACGAAGTAACATCATTTTTCAGATGCTGATGATGGAATCAGAGAGTGAATGTATGTAGTATCTGCTTACTTTCCCTTTTTCCTGCTTCTGACTGCTTTCACAGAACAGTAAACACTCATATATTTTTTGAGATATGCTATTTCAGTTTCTTTCCAACATTTAAAAGCTAAAATGTATTCCACTCTGTATAACTTGGTGTAGCTTAGCCCCAAAAGTTTGAAAAACAGGGGGGAAGCATTCAAAAATCCTCACTTACAATCTGACTGCAGCAAAGATGGTAGTAAAGGTATAGCTCTTTAAGCAGATTGATTGCAGTTGATTGGGGACATGTCCAGGTAACCAGTGCGGGGGAAATAGTGAGACTTGCTTCATGAAGGTCTTTGGGGGACACGATGGGTTTTATGTGGACATTTCATGTAGGAGCAGTTCCCTCCATTTTTGTCTGTTCTGCTCTGATAACAGCGCCTACATCCTATAGATCTGCTGCAGCTCGGTTTCCTCGCCACGTGTCGCCTCTGCAGCTTTAGATTGTGTTACATAATTGGTGTTACATGTAATCTTCCTGTACGTATGTGTGCGGGGCCAATCCACCAGAGAACAATCTCTACACTCGGCTCTCTGAAGTCACAGACTGCATGTAGCTCATCTCGTGGGCACGATGCTGCAGGAAGCCTTTTAATCGAGCTGTTACATAAGCTGTGGACAGGATGCATTAAAGCTACCCTGCTTTATGTTGCCATGTAAATGTTCTACTTCATTTGTTAATTTCATGTTGTTTCCCCTTCCTGCACTTATTTGGCTTGTTTCTCTCAGTTGTGTGTGTCATTTTTGTTTTCCTTTGCCTCTCTTTGCATGCGGGTCTTTCCCCACCCACTGTGGGCGGGGTTTCTGGCACACAGCTCCACCCTCCCCGCATGCCTAAAGAGCAAGCCGCCCCACAGGCAGGAGGGGGGCAGCGCCTTGCCTCGTAGCATCCTCACACACCGTGTGCTCAGGTTCACTGATGAGGTCACGGTTAGGTAAGAACACACCCACTTCACATGTCCTCCCACCATTGGTCCTCTTGCCACCCAGAACTGCTTCTTTTTCCTTTTGGAGCGTGTGCTGGTAAAAGCAGGGTGTTACTCTTAAGCTCTTGTTGCCGCCCGTGTCAGGCGTTTGGCCTCAAAGCGTCGTGTGCGACGTCATGCGATGGCAACGAGCCGGCCATCTGTTGATAGTAGCTGTTGTCAGCAGCATGATGTGACACAGCACAGACATGCAGCGGAGCTCTGCTCTCCTTGCTCACTCCCAGACACACGAACCGTCCCTTCTCCCATGTAGACCTGGTTCCCATGACAACCTCCCATCTGAGTGGTCTCACTCTGCGAGGCCGCGAGGAGTGACTGGCGGTGATAAATGGAAACACAGCATCAGAGCCATTACCGTTTTATTGCGCTGTCTCATGGCCTCCCTTCTTCTCTCTTTGTCTCTCACTTCTTGTTACCTTTCTTCTGATTTTCTCTGGATTTTCTTTGTCCCTCTTTCTCTTATCAACCCTCCCTTTTTTACTTGCTCGCCTCATCCTTTCTCCTTCTCCCTCTGTGGTGGTCTCCCATCTTCACTCTTTGCCTTATTTTGTTATCTTTCTTTTGACTATTTCTGCTGTATCTCTTGTTCCCCTTCCCACTCATCATCCTTCTGTTGTCAACATCTTCATCACCTCGCCTCCTCCTCGCATCCTCTGTCCCTGTGCATCTCTGTTTCTCTCTCTGCTGCCCTGTTGTGGCGGTGCAGTGACCTGCAGCCGTCGTTGGACAGAGTGAGGAGCGCCAGCACCACGTGTCTGAGACCAGACTTTCACTCTACTGACAGAGACAGGTATCAGAAGAACATGCACACCATCACCTCTACCTGCACTCTTTTTCTGATGGAGTCATTCAACTTTTTGGGTGTTAGGATGCTGCATGTCTCCACTTCCCTTCACATCATGTGCCCCTTTCATACATGAGTAAATTTGCCATTATACACCCTCATTTAAAAAAAATAACCCAACTCAAACTATCTAGTTGCTTGCCTATCTCAGCTCGTTTAACCTCCAAGACAGATGAAGGAGTTAAACAGGAACAGATAAGATTATAAACCACAAAGGTCCCAGCAAGCATAACTGAGTGCAGCTTCTCTCAGATATTATTTGCAGATATGCTTATTCAGTTTCTTCCCAAGAGTCATATACTAAGATTGATTCCACCCTGCAGTCAGTAAACAGAAAAAATGGCAACATGGATACTGTGCATTTATTATTTATTTATTTGCAAATAATAAGGTGAGGATAAGGAGAGAGATCGGCCAGTAAATCAACAGCTTCACCTTCACACTCATCCCTTTCTGTACGTCTCTACCTGAGCCAGTAATCCACCGTTTCCCATTGGAGAATCCTGGCCTCAGACTTGGCGATGCTATTTCTTATCCCAGCTTCTTCAAACACAGCTGCAAACTGCCCCATTGTAAGCTGGAAATCCATTGAGCAGGTCCACATAGCCGCAAAAAGCAGAATCACAAAGAGCTGACAATCGCTGTCATCTTCACTGCACATAGAAATTCTGTCCGCACCGATTATCATGAGCCCTGGTGGAGTCTGATTGCTGGTATAACTGCTGACCGAGCTCTTGTTAGGAACATATAGGGATGTAACAGCTGGTGACACCATGTTTGATCCTCTGTAGTCTGTGAGGAAGGTTTAATTTTACAGATGCAACAAAAACTGTGTTATTATAATTCTAGTTCTTCTGGTATTTTTACCACCGTGTCAGTTTGTTTGCTCACAGAAACGTGTCTCTGTGGAGCTTTTACCTGATGTTGTGCCATGAAGTTGAAAGCAGCCTTCACTGTCCCTTTCCTCACTAACAACCTTTCTCCCACTGGGATGCTCCTCCTCCCTCCCACCTTCCCACCCCTCCAGGTGTTCCAACTCTTTGCCCCGAACGACTCCCCCAAGCCCCAGGATCTTAGTAGAACATGTGGCCCCTGAGGAAGACAGGTACACCGGGTCCACCCCCCTGTGCCGACCCCTGACACGCTGCGGTTCTGCTTGCCTGCTCATACGTCCCTGAACTCTCACTTGAAAGCCTAGCCTGTAGCCTGAAGCTTGTCCTGTAGTGATATGTACATCGTAGATCTTGTGATCAGCACCGCTTCCAACCCTTTCCCTGTAAATATTTGTTGTCTAAGGCTGTATAATCTCTCCTTTGTTGTGCTGCACCTGCTTCTCTCTTCTGAATTTCTTCACTTCTCTGGCTTGAAAGCACTTTTGCAGCTATGCAGCTTCCATAAACCAATAGAAAGACTGAGTTTGAACCTTTTTATAGTATTTCTTGCCCAGAGCTCAGTTGGGCCATTCTCTGCATCGCCATTTTCCACATCGTGTTTGTTTTTCTTCCTCTCTCTCTGTGGCCGCTGTGTGCCAACACAGGCAGTCTAACAGTTCTCCAGGTCCAAACTGTCCAAAGGGCAGCAGAAAAAGCCTGGAGGGGGACAGGTAAGCTCATTCATTCATTCATTTACCTGTGTTTCCACCTCATTACCCTAATCCTTTCCTTTTTCTCCAGAGGGATCATATTTAACCATCTGTTCCTTTTGGTCATGTGTGGATTTTTTTTTTCTTGTTCAAATCTAAGAAATCCTCAGAAAGACCTTAGATATAAACACATTGATCCATATTTGTGATTTGTTTTGTACAGTAAATGGAGCTTCGCTGACAAAAACTGGGTTTCTGTGTTTTATATGTTTGGAATTAAGCAAGAAAAAAAGCCTTTTTTTAATAATCGAGAAGCCAAACTGACTTTTTATTCTCTGTGCAAAGTTATGTTTGTCCAATCTTCCCTTCAGTGTACTTGCGCACCTCTGGATTGCTTCAGGCACACATCACAAAAAAGAGCCAAACTTTTCTCTCAAAGACCTTGCACAATGCACAAGTCAGGAAAATTCAAAAAACAGTGAACATGGTTCTGGCTCGGACCCTGCTGACTTCTCTGCTGAAGATAGAAGGCTATTTGGCAGGGCGTGGTTTGTTTGTTTTTTAATCATCTTAAACATTAAAGTACAGTCAGTTTGACCCAGAAGATGATGCTCTCCATCCAAACTCTACAGTGAAATTAGAGATCAGTGATCTGAAGATGGAGCTGAAGATAGAGGCAGTGCTGAAAGCGGTTCAGAGGTGCATGATGACACGGCCTTGAAGAACAAAACAGATAAATTTAACTTGGGTCAAGTTTTTGATTGTTTTCTTGTATTATATTAGGATTTTCTTTACATTTCATAATTGTAATATGTTAAGCCCCGCCTTCTGTAAGCTGACTTTTTCTGATTGGCTGCCCCTTTAGATTAAAAACAAAAAAAAAACTGCAGGTGGGCCGATTAGACCATGATTAATATGACCATCCACCACTGAAACAGACTGTTTGTGTTGCTTTGAGTTGCTATCTTTCTGTTTTTATTCCTTTTTATTTGCTGATGGCAGTCGCATCCAGCCCACCTCTATCCTGAGGGGCAGTAGAGGGAGAGGAGGCCCTCTGAGGCCCTTTGGCCAGACAGTCCTGTCAGGGTCTTGTCCTAACTCACCACGGCTGGACAGGTGCATGCTGTTGCCAGAGCCCCGCCTCCCCTCACCTGGTTTCCTCTCTGTTACACTGAGTGCACAGATACTACCTATATCAGCCATATCCCAGTATGATCTTTATGATATGTTGCTCACAAGTGATGTGATATTTTTATAAATTGTCTGTACATAAAGTATTTGAAGTATTTTTGGGGATCTGTAGAAATACTCAGACACACTCGGTGAATCTTCCTTTGCTTCTCCTGCAGCTTCATTGATGATTCTGATCAGTTTCTCTCCTATCTTGACCTTTGACCTTTACCATTGACCCCAGTTTGTTGCTTCTGTGACTGAGTGTTGGGTCTCACTTGAATGAGAGATTAATCTCTTTATCATTATATGTATGTATAACTAATTTTCGCACCTCCTTGTGTGTTCATGTCCTGCAGAGCACACCCTTATGGCAGCCCGACTTCCCCAGCGGGGACTCCCTCATCAGGTCGCAGGGGCAGGCAGCTCCCTCAGCTCCCCGCTAAAAGCAGCAGTATAGAGCAAGGTGCGTTGTGTGTGGAGAAAAATTCATAAGAAAGAAGATGTATCGCAACAGTTTGATAGTTGTAATCATTCGCATCAAACTGTTGTCAAAGTGAATAACTAAAAGGATTTTTAAATGCATCAGGTTTGTCCCATTACTGGACCAGTGACATCAGAACAACAGCCCTGCGCCGTCACCTCAGTGTGTATTATAGTGGCGTTTGTCAGATGTCTGCTTCACACCCTGAAATTTAGGAAAACACGCCCCTTCACAACAGTAACCGAGCTTATTGACAAATGAAAAGTGCATGAAGGCCAAAGCACACCTTGTGTTGCTCTTTGACTGACAGCAGTTTTGATGAGTAGCACTTATTGACACCCTATGATTAGAACGGGCTAAAATTAGAGAGCCTTACAATAATGAGTAACTGTAGTGACTGAACCTGTTTTAAAATTCTGGATTGCAGCTCTACCAGCTTCAATGCTGCACCCTTAAAAGTTAAACCCTCTAATTATGGTCACATATTGTGTTTTATAGCCAGGTACTGGGACCTCCAGGTCGAAAAGGGTTAACAGCCTTTAAATTGTCAGTGCAGAGGAGTGCTGAGTAGATAAAACTCATATGCACTTATGTAGGCTGCGCTCATGTTTGACTCTATGCCCACAGCTTCAGTGCCTTTAAGGTTTTTTTGCCCTGAATTTTGTCTTTCATCTGTCGGATTAGGACGTTTAGCGTACAATAAATCTCTGTGTCCTTCTCACCAGGAGTGAGATTTGAAAATTACATGATGCCATTTGAAGGACTGTAAAAATGATCAACTGCAGTGTTGGGTCACTTCAAACAGCAGAACTGAAGCATGACAAATGGTCACTCTTTAACCCCTCAAGCCCGGCGCTATTAAATTTCACCTGAAAGACAATATCTCCAATTTCTGTCACCAACAGCAGCACAACAGTGAAGGATTAGGATGTGGAAATGCATATACTGAGTCTCCACATCACAATCACCAGGCTGGAGTGAAACGTTCAGCCACATTCATTTAAAAAAATCCTGTTTTAACAATTCGCAGCTGTAATTCTTCCAGATTTGACTCAGCAGGAAAAAAATCTTACATTCAGTCGTAGTTTAGTCAGTTGCACTGGCTCTTGTTGTTTGTGTTTTAATGACCTCTGGGGTCAAAAGCGTTAATTTATTTTTTAAACTCTCAAAATATGAGCCTGAAACACACAGTTCAGGGCAAAACAACAAACCTATCAAAAATCCCTGAAAGCAGTTCAGGAAGCTGTCAGCATAAAGTAAGTGCATCAAGATTTCTGTCTGCTCAGCACTCCTTTGATTGAAAAAAACAATATAAACAGTATGAAAACTGTGGAGTTTTCATACTGTTTAGAACTGTAGGTGTAGAGCAGAGTGTGCAGGGACAACGCTGCACCGTTAATGAAACCGATTTAGCTATTACATGTAAGAGAGTTCATAAAGTCAGACTGAATGTGAAACTTTTATTTGCATTAACTGCTGAAGAAAAAATGTCTTTTTATGCCTGTTTGATATAATAATCAGATAGTGATTGTATAATTCAGTCAGTCTTATTTTAGTATTTTTGATCCATTTCACTTGTTTTATTAACATTACTGCATTTCACTATTTATACAAACTCAACATTTCCTGGTGGTTTACAATTAAAACCTTCACAGGGTTTCACTGGACTAAACATTACATGTCTCAAAAAGACTTTTATTTTGAAACATTTGTGGAAAACTCATACATTCAACTCATACCTTATTTCCTAAAAGGTAAAGATGTATTTAAAAATAATAAATTCTGTTATTTAACTAGAGAAAAGGTGGTTGCGAAAAAGTGAGTCGCGGACTTAAATACAGTATCAAACAATCAGCCTTTAATGGCGTCGATGCAGGAAATAGCAAAGTCTAAAATAATCCAGAGCATATGCCAAACAGAGCTACTGCAGGGAATAAGTTACCAGAAAACTCTAGAACGTCCTCAAGGACACAGAACGAGGATACAAACAGCAAAAAGGGACAACTGAACAAAGGACAAGGGGAGAGTGAGACAATATATTCATAGAAGGGTGAGTAAGAGTGGAGACACCGGGAGACACAGCTAAACCAAACAAGCTAAAACCTACGAGTAATGTCAGGGACTAGAAAGAGAGAGCATATTTCCCCACATGTTGTCTTCACTTCTTTGGCTTCCTGTTAAATCCAGAATCAAATTTAAAAGGTCCCGTCTTATCTTATGACCTTGTAGTACCATATCAGCCTATTAGAGCACTTCGCTCTCGCTCTGCAGGCCTACTTGTTGTTCCTAGAGTATTTAAAAGTAGAATGGGAGGCAGAGCCTTCAGTTTCAGGAACCAGCTTCCAGTTTGGATTCAGGAGACAGACACTATCTCTACTTTTCCTTTTTTGATAAAGTATACAGATAAGGCTGAATCAGGTGACCCTGACTCCTCCTTTATGTGCACTGCAATAAGTGTAGGCGTTGGGGGATTCCCATGATGCACTGAGTGTTTCTTTTTCACTCACTGTGTTTTTATACACCTCTCTGCATTTAATTATGAGTTATTCTTAATCTCTGGCTCTCTTCCACAGCTTGTCTTTATCCTGACCCACGACCATGACAGTATTATTCTTAAGTTTAATTTCTGCTGCATGAAATTAGCTAGATTTTAAGACTTTAACAGACTTTAAAACGTCAGTCACTGTCTGGTAGATTTCTCAGCACTCACTTGCCTGCTGATGGCGCCAAGAGTCTTAGTATATTTCCAAATTCTCTCAAGTGGCTCTTTTTCCAAAGAGCTCCGGGTTGTTGGTGTTCTCACAGTTGTGGAGTTTAGGAATATGCGCTCAGGTGGGAATTTATTTTTTGTGCAACTCTAAAATGTAAAATAAGTTTAACAGCTGTTTGATTGAAAGCATTAACTTCAGGGAATTTGGTTTTAGTCCCTCTAAAACTTTAGCCTATGTCAGTTTTCCTCACTTTCCAGTGCTATTACAGTATATGTGTGTCCTTCTGGTTCACATTCACTGGTTTTCTCTGCAAAGATAAATCTTTAAACACTAAAGTAGGATTTCACCTAACCATAAATCCAAATCCGGCATTCCCAGAAGACCTGGATTGGAATTTGAAATGTAAACTTTTTCAGTGCAGATCTAAAGTGTCTTTGAGTCTTCCTGATGGAGTTTCCAGTGCACATAATGCTCCACCTAGTGTCAGAACCCATGTCCTGCATCCACAGGAAACACCATCCAATTAAAACACGTGTATTTTATTTTTCTTCATGGGTTTTGCTTTTTTCTCAGTGACATGCTTTTATCCATATCCTTTGTCTTTTTAAAAATGTTGTGCCTCAGCCCTCGCAGTGGAGGAGCGAGCCCGACAGCTGCAGATGAAAGTACATTCCTACCGGCCTTCAGCCTCCCATGACCCTGAGACAAACCTCAAGACCAAACGGGAGGTGAGTGTTTGTATTCGCTGCTCACCTCTTCCTTCTGGACTTTATAAACAATGTATTTGTTATTTATTCGTCCTCAGTTTGAACAAACGTACTGAGCTTCCCACCCTCCTTCTCTTTACCTCCATCTTTAGATGTATGCAGAACAGAGGCGCAGCAGCGACAACATGTCGGCCAGATCTTCAGACAGCGATATGAGCGACGTGTCGGCGATCTCCCGTGCCAGCAGTGCCTCCCGCCTCAGTAGCACCAGCTACATGTCTATCCAATCAGAACGGCCCGGGGGACGACTCAGGTCAGTTGTGACTGTAAAGGCTGCTTTTTAACACCACAGCCATCATTTTTAATATTCTAATTAAACCCAGATGTCGGAGAAGTGCATGCTGATCACAGTCTGTCTTTCCTTTTCTTGCACGCCACTTGCCGTTGCATGTTTGTGTCCTTCTGCATGCTCTGATTCTTCCACCCACACGCACGCAAACACATGAACGCACAAACACACATAACTCAGATCCAAGTCATTAGAGGAGGACAAGAAGGACAGGAGGATCTCGTGGGGGGTGGATGGAGAGGAGGAGGAGAACGAAGGTGGAAAGAGGCAGTTCTCCGAGGAGCTGAAGCACAGGAGACACACTGTGGCAGGAGACACGAGAGAGTCCAGGTAAAGAGTTCTCACACGGTGAAGCCACCGATGATGGCAAACGGTCCATCTGCTCACTGCACAACTAGGTCCACATAGACCTCTCAAGTCCAAAGAAAGGCCGTCAGAAGCTATTAAAGGTGGAAACACAAGCAGTTTATATAGAGGTGGTTTATTATAGTTTATTGTAGATGTAGATGTGGAACCTTTCTTTCTGGAGAAAGAAATCTCCATATTTATGGGTAACTCCTGTTACCCATCTGCAGTGGCTCGCAGTGGCTTTAACAACAAATTAGGAGAACTAGATCACAAACATAAGGCCCGGGGTCCAGGATCAGTCCGGCAAAGACTCCACCCACTGGGTGGCTTTGAAAAAAGTGAAGGAACGTTTTTGGATCACCAAAACATTTTCTGTAATTTTACACATTTATAAGAGTTCATTTATTACAACAGCATTTCTCTATCATGTTTGTTTATCACTGAGACACAATGAGCACTTTGGCACTTATTTTTCTAGGATATCTGTAGATCTAAACATCTATCTATAGATGTCTCAAAATATCTCAAGATTAAAAGTGTAGATAAAGCTCTTAATGCTGTCAGAAAGGTCAGAGTTCAAAGTTTTAGACATCCCTGAACTCGATTTCACGTTGCTGTAAGTGATTTTTTTACATTCTCCAGTTGTAAAAATGTGCAGCCTGAACACTGAATTTTATACCCCGTGTCTGTCAACGTATCCACTTCATGTTGCTGAACGTCAGAAGCGGCGGTGGGCGTGGATGTAAACACCTGAAAGTCCAAGTCGAGAACAGAAAATTTAACAGTGTGTGAGCAGATTTGTTTGCTTTAACCATCAACCCGGCGGGCTTATGTTTGATCTGAGCCTGGACTTAAAATTAAACTCAGACTCTCTTTTTTTCAAACTGTTACTGTTCAAGCTATTGGCCTGCTAAATCAAATAGTATACTTTTGATTCATTTCCATAAAAGCAGGTAAGCACTCCAAGTCAGCCTCAACATGTTAAGATATTTTTCTCTACCTAAAAGTTTTTTCTCTGTTATTAAGATTAAGATAACCTTAGGGTGCTGCAATCACACATTTAAAAAATGTCCTTTTGTGTTACACAGCTTGATGACTTTTAATCACGTTAACAGCATTAGTCCCATCTGTGGTGCTAATCATTCTTCCTCCCTGAG